CCGAAATGGGCGTGCGTGACGCATGCGGGCGGTGGCGCTGGGGCCTTCGGTGAAGTTCCCTATGGGGCCGCGAAACGTGTGAGGAGAGCCAAATTAAGCATGCGTGACTCATGCGGGCGGTGGCACTGGGGCCTTCGGTGGAGCTCCCTGTGGGGCCACGAAACGTGTGAGGGGTGTACCGAATTAGGCATGCGTGACGCATGCAGGCGGTGGCGCTGGGGCCTTCGGTGAAGCTCCCTATGGGGCCACGAGACGCGTGAGGGGTGTGCCGTGCGTGACGCATGCGGGCAGTCGCACTGGGGCCTTCGGTGGAGCTCCCTGTGGGAACGTGTGAGGGGTGCGCCGAAATGGGTGTGCGTGACGCATGCGGGCGGTGGCACTGGGGCCTTCGGTGGAGCACCATGTGGGGCCACGAGACGCGTGAAGGGTGTGCCGAACTGGGCGTGCGTGACGCATGGGGGCGGTGGCGCTGGGGCCTTCGGTGAAGTTCCCTATGGGGCCACGAAACGTGTGAGGAGAGCCAAATTGAGCGTGCGTGACTCATGCGGGCGGTGGCGCTGGGGTCTTCGGTGGAGCTCCCTGTGGGGCCACGAAACGTGTGAGGGGTGTGCCGAAATGGGTGTGCGTGACGCACGCAGGCGGTGGCGCTGGGGCCTTCGGTGGAGCTCCCTGTGGGGCCACGAAACGTGTGAGGGGTGTGCCGAATTGGGTGTGCGTGACGCATGCAGGCGGTGGCACTGGCTTCGGTGGAGCTCCCTGTGGGGCCACGAAACGTGTGAGGGGTGTGCCGAATTGGGCATGCGTGACGCATGCAGGCGGCGGCGCTGGGGCCTTCGGTGGAGCTCCCTATGGGGCCACGAGACGCGTAAGGGGTGTGCCGTGCGTGACGCATGCGGGCGGTCGCACTGGGGCCTTCGGTGGAGCTCCCTGTGGGAACGTGTGAGGGGTGCGCCGAAATGGGTGTGCGTGACGCATGCGGGCGTTGGCACTGGGGCCTTCGGTAGAGCTCCCTGCGGGGCCACGAAACGTGTGAGGGGTGTGCCGAAATGGGCGTGCGTGACGCATGCGGGCAGTGGCACTGGGGCCTTCGGTGAAGCTCCCTTTGGGGCAACGAAACGTGTGAGGGGTGTGCCGAATTGGGTGTGCGTGACGCATGCGGGCAGTGCAGGGAGGAGGGGAGGAGGGGGAGGAGGAGTGAGTGACGCGGGGCGCTGCATCTTCAAAACCAAGACCAAACACCACAGGATGGTTGGGACAAAAATCTTCTTCGAGACCCAGGCCCCCGCCCCGTGCCCCGCCGGAGCGCCGTTCGACGCCGCCCCGTACGCCCCCGCGGCCAGGCAGCGGCGCAGCCCACCAAACATCCTGGGGCGGCGCGGCGCGGCGCGGTGCGGCGCGCCCTCGGCGGCCCTCGGAGACACCCGGAGACCATCGAAGAAGGACCTCCTCCTCCTCCTCCTCCTCCTCCTCCTCCTCCTCCTCCTCCTCCGCCGCCTCCGCCTCCGCCTCCGCCTCCGCCTCCGCCTCCGCCTCCGCCTCCGCCTCCGCCTCCGCCTCCGCCTCCGCCTCCGCCTCCGCCTCCGCCTCCGCCTCCGCCTCCGCCTCCGCCTCCGCCTCCGCCTCCGCCTCCGCCTCCGCCTCCGCCTCCGCCTCCGCCTCCGCCTCCGCCTCCGCCTCCGCCTCCGCCTCCGCCTCCGCCTCCGCCTCCGCCTCCGCCTCCGCCTCCGCCTCCGCCTCCGCCTCCGCCATCGTCCCGCCTCCGCCTCCGCAC